CACCAAGTGACTTTTCTACAAATATTTTCATGGAAACTGCTTGGGTGAACTTTTTTACCTGGTGCCTCAACTACATGAATTTAAGCTTGTTACTAGGTCTCACTGTTTTACTGTTGAACAAGCTAAATGCAAATTTTACTCTATTTTTTTCTCACACTTTTCATCTATGAAACTCTCTTCCGAATTCTTACTTCCCTGATAACTACAATCTTCACAAATTTAAATGCAACGTCAATCACCATCTTCTGTCTACTTGAACCCTGTTCCTTTTTTGTCCTTTTCTCAATCCTCCCAATTTTCAGTCTTTCCATTCTCATTTTCTTTCACTTTCAATCCCTGTCACCACCCTCGCTCTCTATTGGCATTGTTGCCTTGAGTGGGGTGAAACGATTGAAATAATATATATGTCATTCACATACAGGCCTGATTCACTGTATCACAGCTCCTCAGTACGACCAGACATCCGAATGCTTCAAGCCAGGATCGAAATCCGACTGATTTAATATCAGTCAGAGAGAAAGGCGAATTCTAGCGTATTGTTTTTATGAATGTAAACACCAGACAGACAGAGTGCTCTATTCATTAATGAAGAGCGATGTGTTGTCGCTGACAGCTGCTGTTTATAGAATTCGCCTATCACTCAACAGCGCTCAACCGAAAGATTTTCGAGAGCGTTATATCAAAGCAAAATATGTCAAGCAAAATCTCATTAATAAAAAATTATATAACACACATAATCAAACAATTTTGAATATGTTTGACATGCAATAGCATCTTTTAAGGAAAAACAAAATCAAATAAGTTTGCACCAAAACTTGTTTTAACTCTTTGAGCCCTGCGTTCCTCAACAATTTTAACCCTTCTGCCTGAGCTCCCAAGTCAAAATTAGTAAATAATTGTTATGTAATTTTTCAGAGTAGATATAAAAATAGTTACAAGTGTTTACCCACCGGTAGCTGAGCATTAAGTCATTTTTCTCTACTACTGTTCAACCGATGGCTGGGTATTACGTCATTTTTCTCTACCACCGGTAAAGCGGTAGTCAGGGCTCAAAGGGTTAAGAAAAAAATGATGTCTGAAAAATTCACTAGAGACATAAGTGAACTTTTAATGTAATATAGCCAAGTATTTTAAATAGGGGTATATTTTTATCTATTTATTTTCTTCACTCAAGATGTCCCATGAGATAACGAACTCGTAGATTAAGGCGTTAATTCGTGAGTTCAATCTCTGGGCCGAGTAGTGCAGACTTTGACATGGACCGTGGAACATAGATGAAATAAAAGGTTCAGTTCGAAACTGATGGCTACCCGAATCAACAAGCACCTGATGAAGGCTGGACGCATAATGGGGGAAACGATTTGATAATTAATAACGACAAAGATGGGAACAACAGTTCGCATGTAAATAATGATAGCCCCAAAATTCAGCTTGTTTCTTCGTTAGATGAGCTAGCACGTACGTCATGTCATGGCATTGCCTCAGATAAGTAATAAACCATTCCGTTTTGCTTGTGAGGAAAAAGGGAAGAAAAAGATGCTCAAGATGTTTTCGTAAGAAAAAAAACATCATACATAATTTCGACCTTAAGCTATATTTAAGCTATGCTTAGAAAATCGCCATAATAAGAAAGCAAGAAATAAAGAGAAGCTCCCCCCGCCCCGTCTTTTAAACAGGACTAGAGGTTGATCTCTTTTTTCCTGTTTAGGATTGTGTTTCCTGTTCCTTCTAAAGTCTGCTTCAGCTCTATACTCCTAACGCTTGTTCTTTAATATGCTAATATAACTCAACTCAGTAACCCTCTACCTTGAGTGACTATTGGGCCCTTTATTGGGTTAATATTAGTAAAAAAAAGATAACACTTTCATGAATTTAACGTCTGCTACAGTAAAATGGAAAACCATGTCAGTTTCGAAACTTTTTATTTGTACCCTCTAACTTTTCATATAAAGACCTACATTCAACCTTAAGATTGTAATAATTTGTTAAAGTTGTTTCGCTCAAATATTTAACGATGCAATTGCCGACTCTCCACGGTTAAGTCAATCATTAACTTAAGAATTATGATTGATCAGAAAATTCAGATAGGAAAACCGTAAAGTTTTCACGACTGCCGCTTGTCGGATTAATATGAGTTGCGGTAATCATCACTTCCATGTAGAGTTCCAAATTGGTTCGATCATGATCACGTGTCCTGTAACCCATGAGGGTCGTAGGAGCACCATATCTACTGCAGCCGCAGTAGAAGTGGTATTTCTTGGGCAAGATAGCCTGACGGAGCCCAGCCCTCTCCAGGCTGGTTGGAATTCAGATTTTTTCTTCTCCTAAACTGGTTGCTACTCAAGACTATAGAACCCAGTTTGTCCTGCTATTTACCCATAGCTGGGGTGGGAGAATTCGAACTCGGCTCTCCGATTCCTCAATTTGTTATAATGAAAATAAAACGGCCCCTTCGTAATGATGATGAGCAAGTCTGCAACTGTGGAGGATCTGCCTGCCT